AGCGTCCCAGGGAGGACAATGACCGAACACGGAAGGTGATCAATACAATAGCCGGGGGCTTTGCCGGAGGCGGCTCCTCCTCTTCAGCACGAAAGCGACACCTCCGAGCTATCCGATCAGTGAATAATGTGAACCAGCCAAGAATGCCAAAGATGCCACCCATCACTTTTACTGACCGAGATTTTCGTGGCGCCGACCCTGTACAAGACGATCCCATGGTAATTTCGGTCGAAATGCATAACTGCATCGTGAAGAAGATGTTAGTCGATCAGGGGAGCTCGGCCGACATCTTATATTGGAACACGTTCGTGCAACTAGGAATTCCAGAAGAAAGCCTAGAACCATATCACGAACCGTTAGTAGGGTTTTCTGGTGAAAGAGTAATGACGAGGGGGTGCATCGACTTGTACACTCGCTTCGGTTTCGACCAAAAGTCTTCCCGAGAAATCAAAATTCGTTACATCGTCGTGCATGTTTTTCTCCTCATGCTCAAACCTCCAATCGCTCAACCTCTCTAGCAACCTCCTCGAGTTCGACTCACCGCGCTGGAAGCTCAACCTCCGCGTGGCGGATTTCTCCTACAACAAGATTTCAGGGCCAGCACTCATCCCGTGGCTCCTCAACCACCTGGCGCTGAAAGGAAACAAAATCTCCAGCGAAAGCGACTTCTCCGCTGCCGCTTCTCTTTAGTACTTGGATCTCTCCGCCAACAAATACTTCGGCGACATTGCTCACACTCTCTCCGCTTGTAATCGCCTCGTCTACCTCAACGTCTCCAGCAACCAGTTCTCCGGTCCGCTTCCCTCCCTCCCCTCCGGTCTGCTTGTTTACTATCAAAAGTCCCTGTTGGATACGCGAAGTTTTAGTGAAAGATTCAAGCTTAAAAACATTTGCATTGCAAGGTTTTAGTGAAACGTACCTGTTGGACGAATGAAGCCCTAAGCACGAATGAAGGAAAGGGATCTCCAACAAGCTTAAAAACGAACATGAAGTCGAACAGATAGCTGCCTCTTTGTGAATCTGTGTTATAGGACGAATGTGTTACAGGATATTTAAGATCGGTTCCTATATAACCGATCTTAAAAGTAGTAATATTTGAACCGATTTTAAATGTATACCTTTTAAGATCGGTCATAAAATAACCGATCTTAAAAGTGTTCATGTTATTTACAAAAATGTCATCGCATCACTTTTAAGATCGGTTGTCTTATAACCGATCTTAAAACTCCGATTTTAAATCCAATTTTTGCACTAGTGATAGTTGATTGGCATTGTTGCATGCTTGGAAGTTTCTGAATTTTAGGTGGAAAAAGTCAATTTTGTGTTTGGGTTCTATTTCAACATGAGGCCCTTTGCCTCACATATGTTGGGCATAGTATCGATTGCGTTGAACATGAAGAAAGAGAATTGTCTTAGGTTGAATTGGGGTCGAGTGTGAAACCCATTCACGTCGGGCCTAAGGGCCTAAGACCCTCTACCTAATCCATGTCGAGCATGGGTTGTGTAGCATTAGGCGTGGGTGAGGCAAAGGATCCCTTGTTAAGATAGTGCCGACTAGAGGTGTGCAAAAAAATCTAATTGAATTGAACCAAATCGACCCAAAAAATAATTGATCCAAATCTAAAATATCTAAATTGAACCGATTTTTTAAAAAAATTAACCGAACCTGTTTATTCCCATCAAATCAAATCAAAACCCTTCAAAAATTCGTTTCAACTTTTTTTGTTTTTTTTTTTTTTACTTTTTTACCAAAACCCTGAAGTCTAAACTGCTCCACTTGTGCACACTACACAATACGCACATCGTGTGCTGGGAAGTTGCAAACAGAACAAAGTCACGTTGGACCAAGGCATCTACAAACGCGATCGTCTGTCGCGAGTCTCAACGTCCTATGACGTTGCATGGTTGTAGTCTCTGGTGGTTGGTGTTGGTGGTGGTTGGTGCATTTGTGTCTCTACATAAACCGTATTTCCTAAATTTGGTAAATACCCTCCCTTTTCTTTCTCTTTAATTTAGTTCTTATAGGATTTTAAATAATCAATTTCAAGTGAGTTTTCTATTACATTTAAATTATTGAAAACATTTCCCATGTTCTAGTAGAACAATTTATTAGCACATCTAGAAGTTCAATATTTGTTGCTTTTGATAAAAAAAAATAATTCTTTGACTAACAATATGATCAAGACAAGTTGCATTGAGTGTGTTTGTGTTTAGTCTTGCTTCACATTTTCATATGCTTTCTGTCAACACAATCACCCCCTAATAGTGCCACTATGACATATTCCTAGCTTTAATAATAGTATGGAACACTACATTCCAAGCACTATGTTGGGTACTTATATTTTCTCTGAACAATTTTGAAATTGAAGTTGTGGTTAGAAAATAAAAGCATTGAACATATTGAAAAGGTTTAGGTAAAAGCAAAGATTTTTTTTTCTGTCAATAATATAGGTATAGATGCCAAGCAAAGTTATGGTTGAAAATTTTGTTTTAAAAAAATTGGTAAGAAAAACTTATTTTTAAAAAAAAGGTTAAAAAATTGGTAAAAAAATATGATTTAAAAAAAAGTATAAAAATTGGTTAAAAAAGTTTCTTTACAAAAATTGGTTCAAAAAACTGGTTTAAAAAATATGGTTAAAAATATTGGTTTTAAAAAATTGGTTTAAAACTGGTTTTTATCCTATTCATTTTGAAAATGGATTAATCCATAAGCCTGGATCAAAAGTAGCTTGAAATCAATCCATTAATTAGGTTCACTTTAAAATTGGATCTATATACTGAATCGGATTGAAATCTACTAAACTAATCCATTTAAAAATGGATCAGATCGATGCAGATTGGTTTTCTAAAAAAACTTATCCATGTATACCCCTAGCGCCAAATGCTAGGTATGTGGCGTCTAGCATTAATTATTGAATCAAAATTTATTGTTTGGTTGATGAATTATTGAATGAGTAGAATAGATTAATCTATTAAATGTTTTAAGTTGCTTAACGTTTATTATTATTATTATTATTATTATTATATATGTTGATATATGATGGTAGTTAGAGATGATTGATAGTTGAAGGGTAGAAAGTGAGTTGAGTTGTATGTTATTTGTTGGTGATGTAGTTGTGTTGAATATGTTTTAAGCATGATGTTGTGTTGTTGAAATGATGAATGTTGAGAATGTTTTAAGTATTTAGGCATGGTGTTGAAAGTTGTGTTGATCAACTTAGGACTAGCGAAGAGGTTGTTTAAAAGTTCTATATCTCATCGTGTTGATATTGTGTTGTGGTGCTGTGAGAGTATAATTTGTTGAAAATCCTTCTAGGAAGTCAACCTTTGAAAATGATAGTTAAGTCTTATCTAGGATCTTAGTTGGTACTGTGTGTGGGAAAGGTCAAGACACATGTATAAAACGACTAATTGAGTAAAGTATAAAGTTAGGAGCTTAGTTCCTAACAGAGTATTGGAAGGACGTGGTATTTGGAAGGTAGTTGATGGGCTAATCGCATAGGAAACTTAGTTAAGTTAGCTAATATCATGGTAGACCCATACCAGTTGTTTAACCCTCACAAAAGTACTAGACTTCCTTATTTAAGTGGTGACATCTGAGAAATCAAGTTGTTTTGTTATGGATTCATATCCAACTGACTATTGATCTAGCAAATCCAAAAAGACCACCTTGTGTTGTTGATTCGGTAGGATCAAGTTGTAATATTCTAAAACTTTTGATACAATATTATAAATTTTCTTATCATTATCTTATTCTTAAAATAATATTTTTTAATTTTTGGTTACCATATTTAAAATAAATAGATAAATACAAATGTTTTATTTTTGATACCTTATGATTTTTATATTTCTAGCAGATTAAAATAAAAATATTTACTATTCAATTTATTATAATTTTTTCTTCAAAATAATATTTTAATTATTATGATATATAAATATTTAAAATTGTTAAAATTTTAAATATTTAATATAAGTAATTATATTAAATTTATATATATATATATATTATGAATGGGTAAAAGAAAAAGGTAAAAAAATTTAAAAATAAAAATAAATTTTAAAAAAATGAAAATTTTTAAAAAAATAAATAAATAAAGGACCTGCAGCGGATAAGCTACAGGTGTACGAAGAGATACCTATTATCTCTAACCAAAGAGATAATAAATGTACTTGTTACATTTTAACTAAACCATTAACTATATATAAAAAAAAATTACTAACTTGCCTATAAAAGGCCTATGGGGAGGGACTGTGAGAGTAAACGGGAAAAAGGGAAGGAACATAGGTGAAAAGAGAGAGAAAGAGAAAGAGAGATAGATAGATAGATAGATAGATAGATAGATAGATAGATAGATAGATAGATAGATAGATAGATAGATAGATAGATAGAGAGAGAGAGA